ACAAAAACAAAACCATAGAAAATAAAACATGGATAAGGGGGCACCACTGTATGTGATTTTTTTAGACCTGACAATAATCTATTACAGGGCTTGTGTGGCAGGCCTTGCGGGGAAGCTGCCCTCCCCACGTCAGATTTGGTGACTAGCCAGTTTTTTTCAAGGGAGTTACAAATGAGGACATAGGCCTCCTGCCCTCCACCAGCCACTGTCAAACACAGATCTGCACTGCTAGCCCAGGTTCTCACATTTGGAAGTACTTTTCTCCACTTTAACTCAGTAGCTTTCTACCCCTACCCCTCTGTCCTCCTCCAACCCCAGCCTTAGCCCATGGGTCCCATAAAGACGCAGTGTGGTCTTTTGTTTGGGGCTCCTTGTCAGTAAGAAGATTCCCCCCGTCTGTGCTGCATCCACTTGACCTCACCGGTGTTCCACTGATGGGAGACAATGGAGTGATGGTGCAACAGTTAGTGGTGGTGTCAGACTAAGTAAGAATGACTAGCAGATTGGTTTAGCACAGTTCTGGGTGTGTCTGGATGACTGACTGGCTGATGATGGAAGATTTACCCCGGGTGTGGGTGGTACCAACCAATAGGCTTGTAGCCTGGATGGAATAAGAAAAAGAAAGAAGAAGGAAGTTGCACTTCCGCTTCTTTGGAAGCATGACAGTCTTTGCCATTGCCGTTGGACATCCGTCTCCAGGCTTCCAGCACAGGCTCTTCCGCCTTCCAGTGTAAACCCTTTGGCTTCCCCGTATGGACACAGGGGCTCCAGGTCTTCAGCGTTTGACTAGATCCTCCGGATCTCCAGTGTGCAGATGGCCCTTTCGCATTCTCCCACATCTGACTCTGCAGGCAGCCAGTGTAAGGCTACCTTATAAAATTATACATACATAAAATGTATATAAAAGAATGCACATACTATATACATATATATATATATACACACACACACACTCTTTTCCTCTAGTGGACCCTAACTAATAAAATTGTGGGCAGAGCCTCTTTTTGTCTGATGCCCGCACTGTTGCAGTTACCCAGATAAAGACTTGATCACTCATTTCCCTTTGGATCCTTGCTCAAATTGGCCATCTTGACACCTGAATGCTCAAGGGTTTGAGAGCGGGCAACCAGGCAATACTTTTCACTGGAACAGAATAATGCCATTTTGTTTTCACTGTGCTTGATTCTACTGCTACTCCCTTCTATGCTAAATGACACAGTTTTCTTTCTGATACGAGATTTTTTCCTAATTACTTGATGAAAAATGATGAGGGATTGATATGTAAATATTAAGAGTGGAGCTGGGCGTGGCGGCATATGCCTGTAGTCCCAGCACTCGGGAGGCTGAGGCTGGAGGATCGCTGTGAGTTCAAGAGCAGCCTGGGCTACAAAGTGAGTTCAAGGCCAGCCTGAATTGTATAGGGAGACCCTGTCTCAAAAAGATAAAAAAACAGAAAAAATAAAAGAGTGCATTTACCGCCGGGCATGGTAGTGTATGCCTATAATCCCAGCACTCGGGAGGCTGAGGCAGGAGGATCATTGTGAGTTCAAGACCTGTCTGGGCTACAAAGTGAGCTCAAGGCCAGCCTGAACTGCATAGCAAGACCCAGTCTCAAAAAAAGACCAAAACAACAACAACAACAACAGAAAAACAAAGAGTGGATTTACTTTTGGGATGGTGGCATGTGCTTATAATCCCAACCTTTGGGAGGCTGAGCTAGAGTGACTGTGAATTCAAGACTAGTCTAGACTATGAGGCAAGACCCTGTTTCAAAAAACCAAAAGCAAACCAACCCACACCAAATCAAAACCAAAGCCAAACCAAAACAGAAAGGACGGATGTGGGGCAGCATGAGGGGCAAGCGGCCCTACCGATGATGGCACAGGCTACCGACGACGGGCAAACTAGCATAACTCGAGGCTTCGGGAAGATCTGGTCTTCCAAAGGCCTGATGCCCACACTGCTTCGTGCCGGTAAGCACATGGCTGAGAACGGTCTCAAGGGCACACTTACGTCCCGAATGGCTTCATAGAGAGCTCTGAAGGTTGGCTGCTTGTCGTCATGGTACACGCCCCGGTTCCCATGAAGGACAGACACTCCCTCCCGCTCAGCCTCCTTGCAGTTGCTCCCGTACATGCAGTGATCGGGACGGTAGTTCCACTGGCAGGGGAACACATAGAGACACTCTGGGGGTGACAAGAGAAAGAGCCACAGTCAGCGCTCTCATTTGCATGTCTGGCAATTATGCTTAATGTTCCAGTAAACTACGCACTGGATGTGATTCCAACGTGCAGGGATGTGAAACTCAGACCAAATGTCATAGCTTTTGCCAAAATTCTGAGGTCAAGGATGAAAGAGGATGAAAGGTGATCAGAGTATTATATATATATATATATATCTCAGTGCCCCCAAGAAAATGTAATTATTACCTATCACAAACATATTTTTTAAAATTCTGAGATCAAGAACCTATTACTGATGTAGATTTTGTATTTAGAAAGATGACAGCAGTGTATATGACAAGAACACAAACCAGGGCATCAGACAGCCTGGGCCCAAAGACCAACCCTCGCACTCAGAAACAGAACTCTAGGTAGTCCTGTCATGTTCTGTGCTCTAATTTCTTCATCTGTAGAATGGGAGTTAGAGGACTTTCCTCTTCTTTTGATGATTAAATTTTTAAAATACATGGAAAATGCTTATCAGAGTGTCAGGCACACAGCAGCGTTCAATGGTGTTCGCAGTCATACTCAACTCTTTGCAAAAGTTTTATGAAATGGATAGAGCCACAAAATAAAAGCCTAGATAAAAGTAAACATTTCTTTCTGATTAAAAACAAAAACTAAACAAAATACAACATTTACAACAGCAAATGGAAAAATCCAAAGTGAAAAGCAAAAAGCCAAAGAAGCCCCCTGCTGTGGTGACTTTCTGTACTGTGCTATGTGTGTGCACACATATGTATATATGTGTGTTTGTGTCTCTCAACAAGGGTTTCTTTTCCTCAGTACTGAGTACTGAGCCCAGGGTCCCTGCACTAAGCTTTATCCCCAGAGCTTTTTTTGAGAAAGAATCTTCAAAAAAAAGCCATGCATGGGGGCACACGCCTGTAATCCCAGCACTCGGGAGGCTGAGGCAGGAGGATCCTTGGGAGTTCGAGGCCAGCCTGGGCTACAAAGTGAGCTCAAGGCCAGCCTGAGCTGCATAGCGAGACCCTGACTCAGAAAGACAAAAAAAAAAAAAAAAAAAGAGAAAGGATCTTGCTAAGTCACGAAGTTGCCCAGCCTGGGCTCAAATTTGTGCTCCTCCTGTCTCAGATTCCCAAAGTGCTGGGATTACAAGCATGTGCTACCATGCCTAGTACAAGAGGTTCTTAACCTGGGATGACTCCATCCTCTCACTCATACCCCTGAGGCTGTTGAGCAATATCTGGAGGGAGACACTGTTGGTTATTGGTTGGCATATATGTGGGAGGCTGGGCTTGGCACCTGGTGGGTCCTCTAAGCATCCTATAGGGAGCAGGGATGCTCTCCACACCCAATAATGAACAAACAGAACAGCCCCGTGATAGTTGTACTGAAACAACACTGCTTTATCCTACTGGACTCTGAAAAATTCCCTTTGGTGACTAGGGTTATACAACTAGCAATAAATGCACCCTCACCCCCAGCTTCCTGGCTCTCCAGCTGAATGACTTGCAGGGCTGGGGCCAGAGAAGACTGGATCACAGGTCTCTGCAAACATGTCACCGATCATGAGAAAGATCCCTCGAGAGGGCACCGGAGGATTACAGCAAACCAGTAACATTACTGGAAACACTGCTTTGAAATGGGCTTGTTTTCACTGTTGCAGGGCTGCAGAAAGCTTCAGATGGAAAGAATGATAGGATCATCACACCTCCCCGAAGACTGCATATGATGTTCTGTGGTTCATTCTTTCACAAGCCTGAAGCAGCCAGGGCCCCTCTATTAAACCCGAATTGTCCACGACACACTGAGATGTCTCTCTTCTGGGGAGGGCTCCATTCTACCACGCTTCTCTTACTTGCATTTAGCTCCTCATGTACACACGGTCATAAGTGGGACAAAGTAGTGGCCATTCTCCAATCACACTAGCTAAATGTGAACGCAACTGCTCTATTGGCTGTGTGACCTTGTTGCACTTTAGTACAAAGCGTTGGTGTGAGGGTTAGAAGATCTCACATTGTTCTGCATTGTGCCTGGCATAACACAGTTGCTTCCTTCTGAACCCAATGGGTAATGGGACTCCTTTATGACACCCACCGGGGCATTTGCAAAAGTTCCAGGCTGAATGGGCTGTCCTGGAAGCAATTTCTGTTTTTATAAATACACTGATTGATGGGCACAAAACCATCTATTGAGTGCCCACTATGGGTACTGTGGACAAAGCCAGTAATGGAAAAGTCCAGTCCTTGCTTTCATGAGGTTTAAGGCCTTCTAATGCAGGCTTTTGTCTCTTCCCAAGGACTTTAGGACTCTACTACAGAAAGAACAACTTCTCTTTCTGCAGCAGCCCTCAAGGAGTGAGCGCCCAGTAAGGGACATTCAGCAGCAGAAGACAAAGTAGAAATGGCTTAAGCACTGGAATCAAACAAATACAGGTTCCAGCTGGGCTTCTACCCCTTCCGCGCTGTATAATCTTGGTGAGTTACTGAAATATTTGACCTAGGTTGAGAAGCAGTAAAGAAGACAAATTCTCCAGACTTGAACCTCAGCTTCCCTGTGTGTTTGTTGTGATACAACAGCAAAATTGCCAAGACAGCCAGCTCTAGAGTCAGCCCATTGGGTTTGGAAACAGAACTCCGCTGCTACTTGAGTCTATTGAACTTAATCTCATTTTTCTGCACTTCAGTTTCACCATCTATAAAGTGGAAAGAATCGAACACATTAGCTGTATGACTTCATTAACGTACATATTTGGAAGACTGCCTGGCACATAAAAAGCACAAAAAAATGTAAGTGATGATGATCTCATTACTACACTTATCACAAGACTATTGCATTAGGGTGCTGGAAGGATACAACAAGCTGACTTAAACTGAATGGGCCTAGCATAGTTTCTGATAGTTAAGCTTTCTGTGATACATGTTTACTCTGATTGCTTCTAGACATGCAGGTAGCAAGTCGTTCTGGGCTTTTTATGGGGCACAGACCCTCCGAGAATCTAATAAAAGCTTTAGATTCCGACTTTGGGAAAATACTGCTGGGAACATATAAAGACCTGCAAAGAACATTTGCTTACAAGTTCAGGGATTTATAGGTCCCCTAAAGACCGGCTAAGAACCTCAGCTGTTGAATCTCAAATATGAAATAGAATTCAAGACAGAATTCATTTCACATTTTCACACCCCCTTCTATATTTTCCACAGCAAGAAATGCAAACTGTATAGAAAACATAATCAAAACAAGTGTTCGTTCACCACATCACTGCAAGGCATGGGTGTCTCAGGACGATAAGGTGCTGGTCCAGCCCTCAGGGGATTTATGCTCCTGTGAGGGAGAGAGGTACGGCCAACATGTATTATCAGGGCCCCTAGGAAGGAGAGTTCACTACTGAGAGGTGAGACGAGAGGCTGTTGCAGTAAAATTTCATTTCAACTTTTAGTAGCGATGAGATTCTGACAGAAGCGAAAATCTGGAAGAACATTCGGGGAGGAGAAAATAGCCTGATCATGATAAAATGTTTGGAAATTACAGTGTCTTTTAGAAAAGATAAACTATCTTAGTTTTGCAGGGCAAAGGCAGTCTGTTCAGAGGGGAGGACAATAGTGTAAAAGTTGACGTGTATTATTTTGGCTTAAAATATTCAAGATACAGAAATCTCTATCAGGTGGCAATCATTAACTTTGGTTCTAGACTGGGAAGCAAAAACGGGGGGTTCTCTTTTGAAGGAAGACGGCATGGCTCAAGGAACTGGAAGTACAACAGGAGCGGGGCAGGAAGCAGGGCAGCTCCAGGGGCCTGGGGACGGCCGTCATTAATGTCAGCTCTTCAATACTGCCGCCTGGATGAGCCACCCTTGAAGTGCACTTGCTGCTCTTGGGCTCCCAGACCTACCCTCCCAGGAGATGGTCTGACTGGTTTAGCAGGAGTTATGGGAAGGCAGGGCCCGAGACTGCATGCAATAGGGAGAGTGATTCCCTGAGGACAATGCGTGCTGCAGTGGAAGACAGGGCAAGCAACAATGCACAATTAAACGTGTCCGATGTCTTTTTATTTGGTCTTTTATTTTTTTGGAGACAAGGTCTCACTATGCAGTTCACGCTGGCCTTGAGCTCACTTTGTAGGCCAGGCTGGTCTCGAACTTGCAACAATCCTCCTGTCTCAGCCTCCTGAGTGCTGAGATTATAGGGGTACACCACCATGCCCAGCTCAATATGCCTTTAATTCACAGATAAGCTCTGAAGGGGGTAACCTTTGAAATCCTCCTTTCATGAATAGGTTTGTGGGGCAGGGATGGGCGCAAGATGGAAACCTATACAAATCAGCTAATGAACATTTTTTTAAACCAGGAATCGAACTCAGGACCTTGTGCTTGCCAGGCAGCCACTTGTTGCACTGAGCTACATCCCCAGCCAGCTAATGAACATGAAAGTGGCCAAACGGCAGTCATTTGGTGTACGATCAACTAACCTGTTTTGAAATGGATCTATTTTAAGCATAATTATCAGGGCTATCTAAGCTTGATATTTATTTTTATTTTATTGTATTTGTTGTTTTTCAAGATAGGGTTTTGCTAGGCAGTTTAGAATGGCCTTGAATTCATTGGTACTCCAGCATGGCCTCAAATTTGATACAATCCTCCTGCCTCAGCCTCCTGGAGACTGGGACTATGGGCAGGTATGTGTCACCATGCCTGGCTAAAATGGCTGTTTTAAAAAGATAGTAGCTGTGTAGTGGCACATCTATAATCCCAGCAGTTGAGAGGCTAAAGCAGGAGGGTCGCTGTGAGTTCGAGGTCAGTTTGGGCTACATAGTGAGTTCAATGCCAGCCTGAACTACACAACAAGCCCTTGCCTCAAAAAACAAAGCAAAGCAAAACAAAACAAAACCCAACAAATAACAACAAGAGATAGCAGGCCTGGGAATATAGCTCAGGGGCACAAGTGCCTGCCTGGCAAATGCAAATTTGATTCCCAGTACCAAAAAAACATAAGAACAACAAG